TCTTCCGCCACAGCCGATGTTGCAATCCCGGGCTCCCTGTGCTCCATGTTCAATCCGGGATCGGCATTGTGGCTCTGAGCAGGGAGAACGGAGGGAGATCTCCCTACGATCTCCTAACCGGTTTTATTAATGCAGGAAGTGATGTTTATTACATAATTTCCGCATTCAGCTGTCACTCTCCGACTACAGAAGCCGGAGAGAAGCTGCTGAAGCAGATCTCTGCTTCATCAGCTTCTTTGGGGGTCCCTAGGTGACATTAGGGGTCTTAGAGACCCCTGATGTCTCCATAAAGAGGACCTGTCACTTTAATTTGATACCACATAGGGGGCTTCCTAGCCCCCTATGTGATAACAATAAAGTTAATTGTAAAAAAAATGTTTTGTCATAAAAACATTTTTTATTTACACACACAAATCCACCCCCCCCCCCCCCCCCCAATGTTTTTAAAGTCCCCCACCCTCACATACACACGCAAAAATGCATCGGGTGCGCCTACACACCCGATGAGCCCGTCTTTTATATTTTACCCAAAAAGTGGGTCATGTTTAATAACATAATAAAGGGAAAACTTTTTTTTGTTTAACTTTCGGTACTTTTTTCGTTATAGAGTAAAAAATAAAAACCCCGGTGGTGATTAAATACTACCAAAAAAATGCTCTGTGTATCCCCAAAAAATGATATCAAATTAATTTCAGTACAGCGTTGCATGACTGAATAAATGTCAGTCAAAGTATTGCAGCGCTTAATACTGAAAAATGGCCTAGCCAGGAAGAGATGTAAACACCCGGGTCTTGAAGTGGTTAAGATATAGTGCTTTGTGTAGTAATGCTACAAACCTGTGAACAGCCTTGAACAGCCTGCCCATAGGGCAGGGTAAGCAAAATGTAGGAGCTAATAAAAACTATAAATTTGCTGTGCAAATTTTAAAATTAAATTGAATTTCCACTTTTGCAGCCAAATTTGATAAAACCCCTACATATATATGTTCATTATGTGTTCCCCCCCTCACACAGCATACCTAAAAATAATTAAAACAAAAAGGTTTCCTTCCCTTTTTAGCTGTTTCTTTGGAGCAGAATTATACATAGGACTCTACAGGGTGTTTACAATATAAGAATGACCAAACATATTTATATTGCTTCATGTTTGGTTATGTTTGCTATGTGAGTAAATATGTATCAATAAATACAATATTACTGTGCAGGTGCAGAAAGAACAAGAAAAAATTTAATTTCACTTTCCCTGGGGAAACGTGCAAATGTAACTTGTAAAATGTGTTTTATATTTGTGATGCAAGTGCTGTTTGCAAAGTCTTATATCCCCCCAAGAAATAGGTATTTTAAGAACCATATTAAAACATATATGTATTAGCCGGTATCATACTAACATAGTACAACACAACAGTATGTAAAAAACTGCAGTACCAGAGTTGAGTGTATTTGGCATTTGAAGGGTTAAAGTGGATGTAGACTTCTGCTTTTTTTTGTTAACCTCCCCTACTGCCCTAACACTAAGGCCCCATTCACACTAAGCGATTTATCGCATCTTTGCCGCGCGATATCGCAAAGAAGTCGCCGGCCAATGCTATTCAATGGAGCTGTCTTAGCTCCATGTCGCTCGTCGCCCGTCACTGTCGCTCCAGCAGGACCCTTTTTTTTGGCGGATTATGTGCGATTTTTCTATTTTTTACTGGAGCCCGAAGGTGAAGGTCGCGCTACCGTCGCCCCGAAAGTCGCGCTATCCCGGCCGTGCGGATCCGCTGCAAAAGGTATGTCGCTTAGTGTGAATGGGGCCTTACAGGGTTATTCACAAAAGGGTGAAGAGTTTGGGGAAGGCAGAAGAAGTGAACAATCCAGGACAACACAGCTGAACTGGAAAGTGAGTTGAATTAGAGAATTCCTCCAAATCAGCTATTTTGGAATAGATTGTTCACTTCTCCTGCCATCTCCAAGCTCTTTACTCTTTTGTGAATAACCCTGTACATCTGACAAAAACCCCCCAAAAATGTATCCTACTCACTAAACACCCTCTCCTGTCTGTTTGGTGGCAGGTCTTATTTGTGGTTGCAGCAATAAAGTCAGGTATTCGCTGACCGCACGCAGGAAGTGTTTTCAGGCAGTCACTGACATCCTGTTAAGGCAGAGCCAGCCAATCAGTGCATGCTGTCAGCCACTGCTGGATTACCTTTGAAAGGTAACTAGCAATATGTGTAGCTGTTTACTGAATGGGCATAAATGCTGTATTCTTAAAAAAATTGGTATCAATGTAGAATACAGATGTACAGAGTGTCGAAGTCTTGGGAATGTAATGTATGGCACAGTGTAGTGCAGTGGTTTCTGGTTCATGGTGTCGATGCATTGGAGAATTGTACTGTTACATTGGTGGTCAGTAAAGACATGGTACAGTCGTGGTCATTGAAAAGCATGGGTAGAAAGGTGGTTAACGAACAAGTGTGTTGTTACATTGAACAAGTGTGTTGGTACAGTGAAGAAGCGTGCTGTTGCAGTGGCAGTCAGTGGACAAGTGTGTGGCTATAGTGCAAAAATTAGTAGTGGGGATCAGTGCATTGGTTGGGTGTTTTGGCAATCAGTGGTATTAGTATGATTTGTGCGCTGTTGACATTGGCCACCATAAGTTGTAGAGATAATTAAAGAGACAGCGTCACCTTGCCCATGCAAGGCAAAGTAGCTATGTCATTTCGAAGGACACCCCTGACTTCATATTCTCATCTTACCAGCTCTACCCTGCAGCTTTGCTTTTTTTGCAGCTAGTTATTTATGGTTATAGAGGAGAATGTGACCTGCACTCCTGTCACAATGCCTGGGCCTAGCAGGCAATCACTAAGTCCAAACACTGTCATATGACTGGGTGAATGACATCAGTGCTCCCCGGGCCACAGACACCTCCTTTTTGCTTTAAAACCAGACTCTCTTGGCTTTAAAATAGCAGCCATGTGCTTTGTAAGTCACTGCTCATACACCAGTAGAGAGCTATACTATTAATGCCACTGTTCTTGCGCAATCAACCAAACACAACCAACATCATGTGCTATAATGGTGACCGCGCCATGTGACTCACTGTGGGTAGCATTGCGTTTTACATTATTCTTGTTTATTATGCTGATCAGAGCTCAATATGGGGACACAAGTCTACAGGAGGAATTGTGTAAACCTGTGACTGCCCTTGGGATCAGGGGCAGTTGGTATCTGCCTACAATTAAGGCTTATTTTGTTATTGGTACATTTAGATCAGTAAGGATTAGAGTGTTACTGCCACCAGCCTGTGGACATCCGGTATTTACATTTTCTTCAAGTGTATGTAAACTCTAACAATGAACATCTCTTATTTTCTACCTTTTTGGCCTGTTTTATCCAATCCAATGAACATGTTGCTTCCTTTGCACCCTGCCTCAAGAACTGTTATCAGCACTGCCTAGCTCTCTTCTGTGGACTACAGAGCACCCCCAACCTAGTTTCAGTTAGGTATGCCTAACTACCTTAGGTATATTTGATTAGAAAATTGTATATTTATAAAAATAAAGAACTGATCGTTCCTGGTGAGAAATCTGTGGATCATATCTTCATAAACAGCCACATGTAGTCACCATTGAATGTGACACTGTGGGAGCACAACTTAGAGACAGGCACATAGTGTTGTAACTAGGTACATTACCCGCCCCCTGGCTTCCTGATTGGCCAGGAAACTGGCTCTATGCTGTTTGGCCGGCTCCATGTTGACTGGCTGGGAAGTCGAGATACTTGGTATCTGCACCGATTACTGATTTTAGTATTGTTATCGGTGCATCCATAGTCACCACACTTGTAGTTAATTTATGCTTCCTACCATCCCTGTAACTAAAAGTTTTTACCTCGGTGCAGACAGGGAACTGGAGGAAACCAGATAATTGAGCCATTGATCCACTGATCGTAATTGCAATGCTTTAGGGTTAGTTCACACCATCAGCAGTGCGGCCAGCTCCCTTTTTTGCTGGGCAGGAGGGGGCGTGGCGGGCCATTGAAGTGAATGACACCGTGGCGACGCCCTGCGGCTGCAATGCGATCGCCTGCAAGGCAAATTCTGCGTTCTGTGCGGTCAAAATGCTGCAAGCACTATTTTGAACGCACCGCGCGGACCACACTGCAGGCACAATGCGCCCTGCGGTTGCCGTGCGGGCGATTGCATTGCGGCCGCAGGGCGTGGCTACGGTGCCATTCACTTCAATGGCCCGTTACGCCCCCTCCTGCCCAGCAAAAAAGGAAGCCGGCCGCAATGCGGGCAGTGCGTTCCAGAATCGCACTGCTGAAGGTGTGAACTGAGCCTTACAGGCTCCAATTCAAAAAAATAATATATGCACATTTTTTTCTTATGAATATGGGTGCATTTATTATTTTTTTAAAGGTGGACTGTGCCTTTAAAGGTCAAATCCTGACAATTCCCCAGAATGTCCATAAAAATAGAAATCAGCGTGCATTGATCTGACTATCCTAACTTGAATCTTGCTTGGTTGTTATGGGTTATTGCACTTTGAATGTGACCATGACTTTTTGCTCTTGTCATACTGAAAGCTTGTTATAAATTGACAGATCTTGGTATCATAGTTTGCTAACAGAATTTTTGTATTTGCTCAGCTCTGCAGTGTGCTACAATAACCCTGTAGAGTAACACAGCAGAATCCTGTGTATCCTGCTGAGTAGCTGTCTGCTGCAGACACATAGGAGGAATGTGCTGTGTTCATGTATTACTTATGTTTATGCAGACAGTGTGTTTGCTCCTGATGGAGTTGCACCTCTGGCCACACACAATGCAGCCTGTCCTAGTGTTAGTGAAAGCATCACATTTTTTAAGCTCCCTCCCTCTGTTCTGAAAGGTTTCAGTGCACTTCCTGCTTCGAAACAAAAGATTTGCCTATCCCAGCCCTCCTAGTGCTATTAGTAGTATTATTATCAGCCGCCCGGCAGCCAATCACGGATGGAGAAAGATGGTGACATCATGGGCTAGGGAACAGCAAGGAGGTAGATGAAGCATCCAAGCCACTAATGTGAGCACTGCAGGTCAGGAGCTGGATAAAGGATGGCAGCAGTACTGCTGATGGACTAATCTGGGGCTTCCCTTTCATAAGTGGCAGGGACACAGCGGATGCATCATGCCAGGGTGTGTGTCAGGTAATCCCCTCTTCTTTATTCTTAGCAGATCATGCTGCAGCTGCAGCCCATGCTGTCTTGTGTTCAGCAGAGCTAGCAATGGCCTGTTCTGGTCTCTCCCAGTTCTGGCGCAGCCTGCAGAATCCATTCTACAGACCCTGGTGATTTACATGCACTTGTATGTAGGAGACCCTCTTCTCTACCATCGCTGAATCTCTTCTAGAAGCTGACGAATTGCTGTGCCTATATACCAGGGTGAAAATATGCCAATGTCTTCCTTTATTGTATAACACATTTTGTAAGGAGGATCTGTATGTATGGCAAGAGATGTATATTGAATATGGCCAGAAAGCTGATTTATTGAACAGCTGGGCTTTGATAAATATGTAAAATGCCTATTGTCGACAAATGTTCTGTTGATGGTTGTTTAGTTATACGTATTGTAGCGAACGGAAGGCAGATATTGAGTAAATGGATGCTCTCTGTACAAAAGAGCTTGCAATCGTTGCCATCTGCTGTGTGATTGTGTGAATGGGTCATAAATACACTTTGCATACATTATCCTCTATCCCTTTTGTGCTCCCTGTGAAGACACCTGCTCTTCTGCTCTTGTGACTGGGAAAGCGTAGTAATAGGCCCCCATATGCATATTAGCCTTTGTCCAAGTCTTGCTCCCTGCTCTATTGGTGAGACTGCCGGTGTACACACACACACTCCCCTCTGTCATCAACCTGCAGGGGAGGAGGGTCACAGGGCTGGCGATTTGCTGTCCTTGTACCACTGGGACAATCTTATGTATATTTGTGCTTAACCGTTTGTGACCTATTCTGACAGCGGCTGTGGGAGATTCTGAGAACTTTATTCATGACTTTGTTTATACTCCATAATGCAATAAAATATCTGTTTAATTTAGTTTTATAAAACGTAGACATATTTCATAAGTCACTGCAAAGTGCACCAGGGTGGAGTAACTCATACCAGTCTGATTTTGTACTTTGCACCAGTTTACAGCAGTCTGAAGAGGAAAGGGGAATTCCTATTGTTTGCTATGGGTTACGGCAATATTTCTGTTCTCCTGGCTAGTTGAAGCTCAGCTAGAAAGCCATAAGAAAAGTGAATTCAACATTGCAAAATCTGCATTCATTACAAACTCATTTCATTTCTATTTTAATGCAGTTCGTGCAAGTACCTAAATGTTTCTTGACGGCAGGCCGCTGTGGTCCCCTACTCAACAGGGCTATAGCTCACTACACACATTACAATCTCCTTTTAGATCAACAATTACAGTGCAAGGGCCTGCCTCATTGGTTACAAATGTATTGGTTAGATAAGGTAGGTCCTCATATTACATAGTTGTTTTGTAAATCTAAAATTATTCTACAGAGATTGTATGGTCCGATTGTAATGTGTGTGATGACCATAAGCCTAGGAGAGGGAGGGCCAGATTTGGGAGCCAATCAGGCTCTGTCGTATGCACACACACTGATGGAAAATGCAGACAGGAGCAGAGTTCAAAGAGAGCTGAGAAATGGCTCATCAGTGTGCTGCTCCTGATCCTTTGTCATTCAGTCAAGCTCAGGTTTGTTACTGACCGAGCTGTGCTGCAGTAGTGGAGGTTGAGGACCTGGCAGTGCTGCCTGACAGGGGTGCCTGAATCTCAAGACTAGCTGAACAATCCATTCATAAATCGGCTCATAAATCAGTTCCAATACATGTATTTCAGCGATGTGTATTTACTTGCTTGCATGGAGTTTGGCTTTTAAAAAAGGTCATTCTGAAATAAATAGTGTTCCAATAATATAGCAAGATGTGTTTGATATGAATGGATTTTATATTTGGATGCATTGGTTGTAAAATGCTAATGGTTTAATACATTTGTTTAGCTCTTTTCTATGCACTTGCTGATGTGTTCCTATTTTTCCTTATATTATAAACAAATATAAAAGTACTACCAATAAGTATGTGTAAATATTTTTTTTAGCCTGTTTAAAAAGAAAAAGAAGCGTTGTTTTATTGTCGGGTCTTGTGTAAACTGATTTTGATGATTTTGTTTTACATAGGGCAGAGATGGGCACTGTTACAGCAGATCAGGGTAGCTAAATTATACAAATAATGCATCAATAGGGACGCCTTAGTGCAGCGGTGTACTGCATTAAAAAACACATCTGAAACCATGTTATTCATTAGTACAGTTCACATGTGTGGCCTGGCAGGTGGTGCGTTTTCGGAAAAAGCCATACATGTATTGCCTTAGCAGAGATGTATGGTCAATTTAAACCAATGGCAAAATGCATAATTGTTTTACTGTTCATATGGCATGCATGTTTCAATGCAATAGTTTAAATTAGGCCTAAGAGTACATTTTAATATATATAAATCTATATAATAATAATATTTTAATAGTATTATTTTATATAGATTTTGGGGTTTATTTATTTAAAAACGGAACTGGACAAATGGCAGGTAGCCAGCCTGTCTGCCTTAGAAATAACAGTGGGCACCTAACCTTCTTCTTTTTTAAGCCTTTTTCTTTTGAGTTGCTTTTCTATTGCCATTGGGAGCATATGTCCACAGGCTCCTGAAAAGTGTATTCTGGATCCTTGATTAGATTGGTTGGCTCCTGACAAAAATGTATCCGCTGATTCCTAGACTGGACTGATGTACTCCTGAATTCTATATCCATTTTTGTATGTATCTCTGAACTTGTTATTACATTTATCAAAGCTTCTATGTGAGATTTATCATGGCAGAGAACCACAGATTTTGTAAAAATGCTGAAGGTTGTAGATTTCAAATTGCTTGCAAGGTGCTTCCCTTCTTGTCCTATCACTTTTTAACTACTATAAACTTGAAACATTAAGAAACTGTCATTGAATTATATGCAGGTTCTTGTAGATGACTATACTGCCTTTAGGGGATCCCTTAAAGGGTTATTTAACCCTCCGGTGTTTTTGCATATAGCACTGCTAGCAATCCCCTCCCCCTCCCCCCCCCCAAAAAAAAGCTTTTAAAAGCAGTTTAAACTTACCTGTGTCTTCCCTGCGCGCTCCCGCCTGAAAATGTGGAAATTCTCGGGCGGCTGCAAAGCATCTTGGGGCAGGCGCATGCGCAGTTCACATTTTTGCCGGGAGACGGGAAGAGACACAAGGTAAGTACCGTATTTCACGCTCTATAAGGCGCTCCGGACGATAGGACACAGGGCTTCTGTGACAGAAATTCTGTGACTGAAGTTGCAGTTAGTGACCGCTGAGACAGGTGGCGCTGTCTCAGTAATCACACAGAGCAGACGAAGCACGACGTTCTTCGTCTGCTCAAGGGGCTCTATGGTGAGCTCCTATGGGGGACCGTGGTGACGGTCCCCCAGAGGAGCGGGGATCCCAGAATACCACGGCGGGGGGCGGACATGATCGCCGCCGCCGCTCGATTTAATACAAGTGATCTAATTAGAGCACTTGTATTAAACGAGCAGTGGCTCCCACTGTACATTCAGCTCTGCTCGTCAGGAGCAGGGCTGAATGTACAAAAAACTACTCGCCCGGCGCCCGAAATTGCATGGCCTGGGCGTCGGGCAATAGGTTTTCGCTCCATAAGACGCAGGCACATATGGAGCGAAAAATACGGTATATGGACGCATGCACCCAGGAAGTGCCAGCAAGGAAAGAGGAGTCAGCGCTGGATCGGAGACCCGCCGCAGCGCTGGATGGACAGATGAAAACGACAGGAAAGAAGATCGGATTAAGAGACATCATTTAAGGTAAGTGCTTTAACTAACATTGGGGGGAGGGAAAAAAATCTTTGACTTTACGTTTCTACTGTACGGGCGCACGTCTTTTGTCGAACCAACATGCTCGAAAACCCCCCGAGAATCGTACGATTGTCGGCGGGTTTCTAGCCTGCTCGTCCGATAGCTGCGGAACGGGCGGTGTGCTCGTTCTGCATTGCCGTCATCGGAGGCGGGGCGGGCTTTCGATGATCGCAAGTACGATCTGCCCATCCAAGGTGGGCAGATCGTACGAGCTTTCAATAAGCATACGACCATCGCAAGACAATAGTCTTGCGATGGTCGTAAGGTGTATGGGCACCTTTAGACTCATCTCTTCAAGGAAGCCTACCCCAGCTCAAACTAACAATTCAACCATCACATTCTCAAACAACTCATCCCAACACAGCTACGTCCTCATGTATAATTTGTCCCTCCCTTTTAGATTGTAAGCCCTCACGGGCAGGGCCCTCCTTACCATCTTGTCTTGAATTGTATTGTGATTGTAATGTCTTCCTTGTATTGTAAAGCAAACTGTTGGCGTTCTATAAATCCTGTATAATAATAATAATAAAAATATACAGATCTGTGATTGTAGGTGTTGGGAGTGTGCAATCTGGAAGTGATTGCATTTATGTCAGTATGAAAAATTGCTCCACATACTGTAACCATTATCTCTTCTCCCAAATAAGTGTCCAGGAAATATAAATGTGACCATGAAAGATAGCATAGAAAATATGGTGCAGAAAATCCATTAGCTCATTCCGACATACCCGGGGAGTGTGGATATCATAGTCCCCTGCTGTGCTCAGTGGTTTCTCCCACCTACTCCTATGTCACTGTTGTGTCCTATTGTGGCATAGGGTTGGCAGGAGCAACCACTTAGCACAGCGGGGGACGAGGAGACTCTACCTAGAGTGTTGGTTTCCAAAGAGCCTCCTGGAGGTGATTTCTCTTCAGTAGCACAGGCAGCTGGGGAATACATATTTAAGTTCTCTGCAGGGAGCCCTTGTAATCACAGTTTGATTTTAAAGGCAGAGTTGCTTCAAAATATATAACTTCTTTTTTACTTTTCTTTGCATTGCCAGCTTCTAGATTGGACTGTATAGACTGCGCTGACTATCCAAACTGCTTCATTAAAGCACAACTCAAAAGCAGATTGTGTAATTGAAATACTACAGCAGGTAACACGATACAATATCTATTGTGTTATCTTCCAAAGGATTTGTAATTCTGTTCAGGCAGTGTTATCAACACATTT